CAGACATTAGGAAATCTAGACCTAATTCCAAGACAACAAAATTATAATTTGCTTTTTATCAACTTTCCCACAAAGAACTATTTAGAATACTTAAGTTAATCTTGATCAGATGGTGTGCTTTACTGAAATTACATGTGTATAGACTATGAAACCATCTTCATGGGTTGAAATAATTGTTTTAGAACTACTCTGGATTTAATGCATTCCTTGGAGCTAAATTCTGTGTATTTTCTTTCAGTCATGAATACATACATAGCTGTACATGTGATGAAAACCTTTGAATCCCAGCCCATGTATTTTCCCCAGAGGAGGGTTTCTTTTCTTTGGTCCTGTTAACAAAAACCAGCACAGCTCATGTTTTACTGTGTAAATCAGTCAAGTCACAGATAATTAAAGTATGTAAGTTGACACCAAGATTTAGTACCCAGGAAACTGACAGCTCTCAGTGTCAGAAGGGTTGAATGTGGGAAGGATTGCATGAGCTGCTGGGTATAAACAGGTGCAACATGGCTGGAAAATAACTTGGTGAAGCTCATCGAGAACTTTCCAGGAGGAAGAAAGGCCTGAATTTGTACCTTCTTCATCACAAACCCCATCAAATTATGACAGTAAAGGGATTTTTCTTCTTTTTCTTCAGTCCAGGTTTGCAGTACATGGTGACTACCTTCATCATGGGAGTTGGCACAGGCATGTAACACATCTCAATTCTTTTTCATCTCCTTCCTCTCACTCCTCTCTGTGTCTGATCCCTTCCCACTTGCAAAAGATCTATCTCCCTGTTTCCTATCATCTATCTTTCATTTTGCTCTTTCAGTTATGTACATTTTGGGTCTTATGTAGGAGAAACCATGTGACGTTTAAGCTTGGGAATTGGATGTATTTCACCGAACATGATGGTCTGTCTCATATGTGAAGCGGCACGGTATTGGTTGAAAGGTCTCTGTGATAAATGGATGACACGATCTTGGAACCTTTAGAACAGCCTTTAAAACGAAAGGGTTTTTAAATTTTTAGAAAAAGATAAACTCAAAATGATAAGTAGAATCAAATAATACCAATAATTACAGTAAATATAAGTGGCCTAAAAGTTCTAATTGAAAAGCAGAGATTGACAATTGACAGACCAGATGAAAAAGAAAGACCCAAATGTGGTTATCCTCAGAAATGTACCTCAGAAATATGAAGACAGAGACAGGCCAGAGGTACATAGGGTCGCTGTTCTGTTCAGAGAGTTAGGTGTAATAAGACTGGGCTGGTGTCTGTATTTAGATCTGGTAAGTATTTCTCCTAAAAAGAATTCCAGGTAAAAGTAAAATTCAAAATCATGTAAGATTCCAGGAGCCATTTTTAGATATATGGACAAGGATTAAATTAAAATGTTTACAGTTTAGTGTGGTAGCATATGCCTATAATTCCAGCACTCTGGGAAAGCAGGAGGATCCCAAGTTGAAGCCCAGCCTGGGCAGTTCCGTACTTCGTGAGACCCTGTCTGTATAGAAAAAAGGGACTGGTGATGTAGCTTAGTGTCAAGGCCCTGGGATCAAGCCCCCCCAGTACCAATAGATAATTTATTTGTTATTTTTATAACATTTTTATATATCATACAATTTTTATTGACATCTGAGCAGATTGGGTGTTCCCAGAGATAGCATTTTCTTTCCAAGATATGACTAATTTGGTTCAAGTACAGTATTTGATAAATATTAAAGTCACAGCCAGAGACTCATATCAAATTGGGCTCCCAGCCTATTGTAGAGACTCATACCTGTAATCCCAGCTACTCAGAAAGCTGAGGCAAGAGGATTGCAAGGCCAGCCTGGGCAAATTGACAAAATCCTTTCTCAGAAATAAAAGTTTTAAAAGGGCTGGGGATGTAGGTCAGTGGTAGTGTGCTTGCTTAGCATACATGAAGGCCTGGGTTCAATCCCTAGTACCAAAAAGAAATCTAGGCTCCCTCCAATTGGAAGGTCCATAGGAATGCTGTGTGCTGAAGTAACACTATTCATGCATTCATTGCTCCCTGGCTCAGGATTCATCATGTACCTACTAGGTCAGTGCCAAGCACGCGATGATAAACAGGAGGTACATCACTTGGTACCTCACTGCTCTCCTCGTATACAAATTGGAGAGGATGCTTTGAGACTTGACTAGAGTGAGCATTCACCTATCCTAGAATATAAATGAATAGTGATTGCACATTGTAACCCACCCATCTCACTCTGCTTAGGATTCCTGTTAGTGCTAGCAACAGAAATAGAGTGCAGCTACAAGTATAATTTTGTATTTTCTAGTAGCCACATTAAAAAGTATAAAGAAATATATGGATTAAATTGGGTGACATATTTGATCTACTTTAATATCTAAAATATTGTTTCAATAAATAATATGTCTTAATTTTATTTATTTATTACCTTGCTGGAGATCAAACCCAGGACCTTGCATATCCCAGGCAAGTGCTCTACCACTGAGCAATAACCCCAGCCTGTTTTTTAAATTACTAAAGAAACCTTTTTCATTCTTTCTCTTGCACGGAGACTTCAGATTTCAGTGTGTCTTTCACACGGGCGCACATCTGCACTTGGACAAGCCACACTGCAGTGCACTTTGGCTGCATGTGGCCATGGTTGACTGATTGGGCAGTGCTGGTTTGTGTGGACCAGCCCCCACTCGGCCGTGGACTTTTGCAGGTTACAAGTGGACTCCAGGTAGATTCTAGAGAAGTGGTGGTATTTCTGATGTTAGGGGGAAACCACTGTGTCCAGAATAGGAAAGAACTCCCACTGTGCCATTGCTAGAAGCATCAGGATTTGTGGTCAAGATGAACATAATTCTCTTGTAGCTGTACAACTCTCCACCAGTTTTCATTCCAAAAAGTCCCAGATTTTATTACGTTTGGAGACAGACCTGTACAGCTAGTGTGAAATGTATCTAAGTGGTCCTAGAGAAAGTGTAAACCTTCCCAGAGCTCAGGGAGAACAATAAGGAGAGTTTTTCAGGACCCTAAAAAAACACTGCTACTACATTTGTCAATAAATATATGTTGGATGAATGATGAAATGAGCCAATGGCCCACATATCAGTTCTCTGAAACACAAACGAAATATTTTTAGCTCTAGGTTAATGAGGCCCTGCTCATCTGCATCCTTGTCTTCTATTTAATATTCATTTGCCTCTTAACAAAAGAATACCTGTTCCTGGCATCGATACTTCACCATGTGCAGAGAGCTGCATTTCAGTTGCTCCACTTATGACACTTCATGGGATTGAATCCCAGCTCAGATCTGGAAAGGGAAGAGTTGGAGCCAGCCTGGACTCAGTCGCTGTCTGCACAGACAGTATAGGCTCCTCCTCAGGGGTGAGACCACCTGTCCACTGCACTAGAAGCAGCTGGGAAGCTGGATGCTGGGCCCTGCTGAGCCCGAGTCTCATGAGGGGTGTTCGGGATGAACCTATGTGCTGAGCACAGGGCGTATCTCACCCCGAAGTGTGGCCACCTCTGTCCTAGTGGAAGACTGACGTTTACCTAGGCCTTGTTACAGAGGAAATGCTGTGTCCATACATGCTTCCCTTGTTCCCTGCCGTTGCTCAATGATTCACTGTGTACAGTAATTTCCCTTAACGTAAATTTTCATCATTTACCCCGTAAAGTGTGTTGTGCTCCCTTGACCTGTTGGTTATGAATGATGGATTTAACTAGAGTAAATTGTATTTAGCATGAATGAGCTAATTTCTAAAATCAGACTGACTAGGACCCAGATCATATTTGTGTGCATTTCCCCCAGTGTAGTCTCTGTAATGTTTGTGATCATGTCAGGAAAGCTCTTCTTTGTGGCTTATTTTTTTCTATGAGATCATTTTAAGTGTACTTTAATTCAATTACAAGCCTACAGAAAGCTGTTGAGCCAGACACACGCACCGAGCCTGCACATGTGAATCTGAGGTAGGGCTTGCCTGGTAGGAGGTCCTAACTCTACACAGTGATGAGGGGCAGACACAGAGCCTTGTGTCAAAACGGGATTGGGGCTTGGTGAGAGGCAGACTGGCTGCCTGGGGAGATCAGACTGCGCTGTGTGTGTGAGACACAGCTGGCTGGAGACTGCAAGGTCATCCAGAACCCAGGAGAGCGCAGCACCTGGCTCTTCTGGACCCAACCTGCATTCTCTCTCCATTCTCTCTTCAGTCTCCCAGAGCTGGGCCTTCAGAAGCCCATGGGCCTCCCTTCTTTTCCCCAGCGCTTCCCCCGCAGTAAGTTGTAAAGGGCGATGCACTTCCCTTTCAGGCACCTAGGCACATTTAACTCACTCCAGCAGTGACTACGTAGGAACCAACTCTAAAAGATGCCAAAAGCAATGTGTTGCTAATTTATTGCCACATCTATTAAGGCTCCAGACAGAATCTAACTCCCTGGATTTTAAATATAGTTGAGATATTATGACAATGTTTTCTGATTTAATCCCTCCATAAATTAGATGAAATTATTATAGTACCTGTTGTCACTTCATTCTTGCCCTGTCTCCAATCACTCATATCCCTTCATTCATTCAGAATAAAATACCACAAGACATTAATGTAGCACTTGGAGATAGGAGGGCTATGTTTTTATGGCTTCAATATGAAATCGCACTTAGGATGCCTCAACCTTTACTGGAATAGGGGGGAAAAGATAAAAACCATACTCATCTCCCGTGAACCTCTTAATAACACTACTGGATGTTTACAAATGAGGAAACAGGCTTGGCGATATTAAGAGGCTTGTCCAGGTCACCCTACAAGTACTCACCAGAGCCAATATACCCTGGTCTTCATGTTGGAACACAAGGCTCTTTGTAGTCTAACTCGAATCTGCTGGGGGTTCCATTAAAACAATTTCTTGACTGTTTGCAATGAAAGGCACTCTTACCAGCCTGCAAGCAAAACCAAAGATCTCAGCATCCCCCCATCGCTTCAGCATCGGTGTTTCAGTTTATCACTTCACAGCCGCTGTTTGGTGTCTCTTACAGAAGGCAGCAAGCTACTACAGCAGAGACTGTCCTTAGATGGGAACCCCAGACCTATCCATGGAGCTGCAGAGAGGTCAGATGGCCCACAGTGGGCAGCTGAGCAGCCCTGGAGCCCAGGCAAGCCCAAGGCAAAAACGTCTCCTGTTAAGCCCAGTGCCCCTGCAGCTAACCCTGAGATAAAACCAGATGAGCTGGCAAAGAAAAGAGGTAAAGTGATTTCTTTTGCACAACTGATTGAACATGTACTATAAGCACAGAACAGTGCAGGGTGACAAAACTTGCAGCAAAACACTGCTGAGCGCTGAGAGATGCACTTGAAACTGCACTTGTGGCTGACTTGCCTGGATTGAAGGCAGGTCCAGTCCTCTGTGTCACCCAAAGCCTTGAGTGTTTCAGAGCAGTTCTGCCCATTCCGCGCTCTGCAGTGGGTCCCCGTGTGGCGTGAAGGAACTGCACTCCCACCCTGTTGCTGCTGCACAAGTGCTCATGCAGAGCCCTGTGGGAATGGAACCAGTTTCCAGGGATGCAGGCTCTCAACCTGCATGGGGTGGGCACAAGTCCAGAGCCCTGTGACCTTCCCCTGTGAACCCAGATCTGTGTCAGAACTTCCAGACCACGTAACCCTGGGAGGGGATTTCTTACTGGACACACTGGGCCCTTTACTTTTGAGCTGTGATACGTGGCCATAGCTGGCCTTACATTTTAGAGACTAAGTCATCTCCTTTCTGGTCCCTAGAAGACTCAGTTCTCTTCCTACTCAGCCTTGACTGTCAGAGGCCCGTGGCTGTGGTTCTCCCTCTCTCCCAAGGGGCACGGCCTGCGTGCAGCCTGCTCTCAGGCCCCAGTGTCAGTGTTGGGGAATCGCGTGAGGTTGGCACCAGTGGCTGCTGCCCCCACAGGCCTGGCCCAGCCGCACCTGGCTCCAATGCTGCATCCTCCATCTCATTGTTCCTCACCCAAGCCCGGTGCCACTTTCCTCTCAAAGCCCTGCTGGCTCTGACCACACACAGTGGTGTTCGTCGAGATGGCCAGCAGCACAAGCGGTCTTGACACCCCAGTCTGTGACAGAACACGGACCGAAGCTCCTTCCAGAGAGCAGAGCGGACAGGTGTGCCCCACACCAAAGCCCGAGACCCGGCCCCTGGGCCCCTCCCCTGGACAGAACGTTTCCCACCAAATATCAAAAGATGAATTGATGAATTTCTATTGTTGGTGTGTTAGCTGCTTTGTTTTGTTGTTTAGCACACAAATAAAGGATAAAGTACTCAAGGTAACACCTTTTTTTCTTGGCATCAATTTTAGGCCCAAATATTGAGAAATCAGTGAAGGATTTACAACGCTGCACTGTTTCCCTGACCAGATACCGAGTCATGATCAAGGAGGAAGTGGACAGCTCCGTGAAGAAGATCAAGGCCGCCTTTGCCGAGTTACACAACTGGTGAGTAGGCGCCCTAATCTGAGTTCCCGAGCCAGTCCCGCAGTTTGTAAAAGCATCAGATGGAAAACATTGTTTATTTAACGCATAAACATTGCAGAACAACTCTCCTGCAGATTTTTTAGAGCTCTGCAGGCAGAAACATATATCTTGGGGGAAAAAAAGAGGAGAAAGTATTTGAATAAGAAGAAACCTGATACACATAACTCATTGGAGTTTAAAGTTGGCCCCAAAGCTATAAAGAAAGTAGAATAAAATCTCAACAGTGAATAAAACCTCAAAAAATAACCTACTGACAAATTCAGGAACCCTAAGAACGTGAATGCTACTAAGAAAACAAAATATTTCCAGTGTTGTCATTATGCAATCAGAAAACTCCTTTAACAAAAGCAAGTATCTGTGTAAGCTAATGAGAGAACCCTGCTTTGGGGTGTTTAAGACCAGACTTAGTAGGAAATGTGTGTGTGCCAGTGTGGCCCTGCCCCGCCCTGCAGCTGAGTTGGAGGGAGGAACCCTCCCTGTACATTTGCTCCTGACAACTGGAATGAAACATTTGTCAGTATAGGTTGTCATCATCAGTAGAAAAACATTGTCCATGGGTCAGTCAGGACTTTGCAGTTTCAAGTGACAGAAACCCAAGTCATACTGGCTGAAGACAAGAGAACTGATCAGCTCACCTGCATGAAAATTCTTTGAGACAAATTGAGTTCTGAGCCCAAATTCTGTTATCGGGACTCTCTGCTCCCTCTCTCCCTCTCCCTTTCCCGCTCCCCCCCCCATATCCCCCAGTCTCCCAAGTCTGCTTATGCCTGAGCTCATTCTTGGAGAGACCTCTCCAGGTGACAGCAAAGACACCCCGGGGACCCTGGCTTACAGAGCCTGTAGTCCCTGAGATCGGAGAGAGGCCTTGTTCCCAGTGGCTGCAGCCAGACTCCGCAGCTGCTCCCCACTGGCGGGCCTGGGCCCGCTGCGTGTCTACAGCGGTCACTCACATGAGAGGGACAGACTGCACACTCAAAGGTCACCGTCAGGTGCGAAAGCAGAATTAGGACTCATCCCACCAAAACACCCGGGAACTGGAGTTGCTGAGCCACAGTTTCCTCTCCAGAGGAAAATGAGGTGCCCATACCAAAAAATGAAAACGTGTCAGAGAAGGAAAGCACGCGTCCACAGTGTGCAGGCTCGAGTGACACGGGCCCTGCCCCTTCTTCGCCTCCTGTGAGCCTCTGAAGTAATCCCATCTTCTCCATGTTTTCCTGTTCCAAGTACTTGCTTTGACACTGATGTGCTTCTTAGCAGAAACTGTGAGATTGTGTAAAACCAAGGATTCAGCTTCCCACTAACTTAATCTAAAATTCATGAAGGTTAAGCCATCTGCCGCACGTGATATCGTCAGGGTGCAGGAGCCGTCGGGGACTTGGAACCAGGCCATCTGCCTCCATGGAGTTCCGATCCTCTGAGGGGGAGACCCTGTGCCTGCACCTCGTCTCCGGCCGAAAGCAGGCGGTGTGACCAGGGGCTCAGGGAGCCACAGCTTGCCTGCCCGTCTGGAGGCGCTAGCTAGCGGCGCAGAGCCGTGCAGTGCCTCTTGTCTGCGTGTGGTGCGCCAGAGGAAGCTTGCAGAGTGACTCAAGCACAACTGACCGGGGAGCGGTGACCTCAGAGCACCTCTCCCAGCTGCTCTGAGTCCTTTTGTTTCATTCCGTTCCACCGCTTAATAAAATGGGCAGCACGTGGGTCCGAGACCGCGGAGATTACTTCCGATCATTGAGGGTCCCACTCCTCCGTGCCAGGAGCGCAGGGCGGGAAAGCCGCCCTCCTCGGAAGCCGGAAGCCGTGTGTTCTCTCTCCCTGTGGCTTCCCACCAGCCTACACCCACCGATAGCGATAGCGAGTGTGGCGTCGGAATGAGCAATGAGCTAGGTCTGCCAGGCGGTGCTTGTGAAGTGAAGGGCGCTCTTCTCCCGTGCTGGAGAGGCGGAACTGAACGCGGCCGTTCCTTCTGTGCAGGCCGCGGCTAAAGGAGGAGCCAACGCCAGCGCTTGCATCCTGATCTAAAGCGTTTTCTGACCTCATGATTCCACAGTCATTGCATGAGCATTAACTTAAACATAAAACCACAATACTCTTTTAAGTCAGCCATTTACATGTGTTTCTGCCAAATGGAAAACTTTGCCTCTGCTCCAAGTAAGCCTGCAGCCCCGCCCACGTGGTGACGCACGGGAATAAAGCCTCTCTCTTACTTTCTAAGGGGAGGGAAGGATGCGTTTTAGGAAGTGTAGTGCTCTTGAAAACTATCGGCTTGTAGCATGGGGAAGGCAGCCTGGAAGTGCTTTGAAAAGAAGCTTTCCTGTTTATCGATGGTTAAATCGCGTGTGCTAGGCGGGAGAAAACTGCGGATGTGGCGCTGGGAAGGAAGTTCAGCGTCGCGTCAGAGGGAGCGCTGGATGGGAAGGCGTGGGCAAGCCCTCTGCATTCCCAGGAAGAGTGCTGTCCAGAGCCGGTTGCCGCCTGTGCCCTCGGCGGCGTCGACAGTGCGTCCCTCCCCAGGGCTGTCTCCCCTCCCACTGTGGGCCGCTGCTCTCAACCCCAGCGACTCCGTGGGCATCGTCATTGCTAAGAACTTCGAGACATTCATTGCTACCCAAGGCCAGCTTGAGGACAGGAGCCCTGCTTGGCTGCGTCCCCACAAAATCCGCTAGAACTCCCGGAAGGACGGTTGCAGGAGCGGGAGGAGCCAAGTGGCCACACCCCTGGGTGCAGTGACCTGGTGCTACTCTCCCAGGCGGGCTGGAGGGTCGCTGAGGGAGACCGTGAAGTAGCTGACGTATAAAGTCTGCCCTGGCATTTAACCAGGATATGATGCACAGGGCTAAATAGCCAGAGCATGGAGCCTTTCGCCCTCCCAGAGCAACTGGAGATTGGGGGGCAGCAGAGACGACACAGCTCTGCACTGTACGTCTGGATGGAAATAAACTCGGCAGCGGAAGCATGAGAAGTCACACCAGGAACTAACGTGAAGCCACACCAGGAACTAACGTGAAGCATCTGGTTTCTCTTCTGTCCGTTTGGTCTCCTACCATAACTGGAAAATATCCACCCTCTGGAATCATAGCTGCCACATTTAATAGCTTCATGTGCAGGCGAGTCTAGCCTCTTGTCACAGATCAGCATCTGTGGGTCCACGTTGATTGTGAAGGCCTAAAATGAGCACTTAAACATTAAATTAAAGAAAATGGAGGAAGGATAATAATACTTGATATTTCTGCCATTTGCTCAGGGAGAAAGTATTCCAAAATAGAGCTGTGAGAGTTCTGTTAGGTGCCACTGTCAGTGTAGCATCTAATGAAGAGCGCTCCTGAGGCCAGTGGAAGCTGGTGCGGAGCCAGTGGCCAGCTCAAGTGCAGGCAGCAGGGACACTGCACCTCCATGCAGGAAAGGGAGGCCGTCAAAGGGACGGAAAACGCCCTCTGCCTGGTGTTTTGCTGCCACCATGCCAGGTCCGGCCCGGGCAGAGTTTGTAAGTAGGTCAGGACGGCCGCTCCCGACCTGGCCCTTGCCTGTCCCCATCCTGGGCTGCTGCTCCTCCGTCTTTCCCTCCTTCCCATCAGAGGAGTGAGCCACCCAGGACGGGGACTTGCGCTGGTGCCCCCATACCCGTGTCTTGCAAACCTGTTTTTCTCAGGTAACTGATGACGATGGGCCCCTCCGACCATGACACACATGCACGTTAGCACATGCTCTGTGGAGGGGACCCCCGGCCAAAAGAGTGACTCCAGGCTGACGATGTGGCTGCTCTGGGATAAGTATTCTTCCAGCACCCCAGGGTCCCTGTCGTCTGCTGCTGCAGCTCTGTTGGGCACCAAGCACACATACAGCACATCATCAGACAGCTTGCATCTCCATGGCAATTTAAGTAGTCTGTTCTTTCTCAGTACCGTGTGTGTGAGGGCCTCTTAAATGGGAAATTGCCGGAGGGGCTGTTGTGTTCAGAACGACCTAGGTGACGTGCGGCCAGCCCCACATTCCCAGTTTGCTCCTCCCTGTGTGCCCAGGCAGTAAAAAATTATTAAGCTCAGGTCTTTGGAGCCACTTTAGTTTCAACCCAAATAAGACCATTTTTCTTCACTTTTCTTCACTTCTGAAGGTTTAACATGCGGTAGGATTCTTGTCTTGTTGGTTGGTCCCAACACACATTCCTCAAAATGTGGCTGCTTTTGTGTGCTACCTGGCTTTCCATGTAATGTTAGCCACTTGGTTTTTCCATTCCCTTTGGCTTTTTACTTGTTCTCCCTGTGAATAATTTAACACTGACTGAAAAATGATGTCTCTAAATTAATATTTAATTCTTGCCATACCAATGTGTATCTGTACACTGTAATTAGAAGTGCTCAGCTTTGTGGTCATCCCTTGCTGGGGACTCCCAGAGATACTGATTTCATCCTCCCAGGAATATGTTTCCTTTTGTTTTGTTGTTTTTAATGCAGGTGATTGGCTTGTGCATCTGTAGTTGAAAACCACAGGTTAGAGTGCTGCTGAGGGATTAGTACACCTAGTGCCGGGGCAGTGGTTCTCAACCAGCTGAGTGTGACCCCCAGGAGATGGCTGCCTGACAGTGTTCTGTTGACCACCGCTGCCAGGTGGGAATGCTGCAGGCTTCTGGGGGCCTCCGTGGGGTGCACCGCGCACCCGCCCCTTCCCATGCTGAGTAACAAGGAACCATCTGCCGTGAGGTGTAGCAGTGCTGGGCCAGAGTGCATCAGCTGCTGCAGGGTCCACTGCAGGTGGCTCCTTGAGGAAAGGGCAGACCCCTCCCTTTGTGATACCCCTGAGCTCCTGCCTGCCTTCCCAGAAATAGGAGAGGGGACATCCCTTTCCATCACCTACCTCCTCCAAAACATACCATGATGCCTTCCCTTTTTAATCAGTGCAGTAGGAAAAGATTCTCTCCACACTGCTGGAAGCATAAACCTTCTAGCTATACATTTTAAAGGTCAAATTAC